CCCCCCCCCAAAGTGCTGTTCATGAAAGCGGCATTTTCCACTAAGAATAGAGTATAGATGTACAGTTTTTTCTTAAATATGAGATTATCTAATAGGACTTCTTATTTACTTCGTCTATGGATAAATGGTAATAACTTTTGAGGTCTTATCTCTCTTAATTACCGTCCGAGTGAAAATAGACAACTTTCTACATTAAAAAACTATGAATTTAAAGGATTTGCACGATGGTATGGGCATGTGGAGAAACTTTGAATGCGACCTTGTTCGATGTGGAGCTAACTCAAATGCAATTTCCACATAATATCTAACTTTTAAAGGAAACTGTTCAAATAATCTTATCACTTTTGTGAATGATGTTTTAATACACAAAACTATTACCCAGAAGGTACTGATAGTTTCGAAGCGAGTGGAAATATATTCTTGCCACAAGGACCATCTTACTTTAAAATGGGATTTGGGAGAGACCTGGTGTGACTCTAAAGTCATATCTGCCCTGTGATACAATGACAGTTGTGGAAGATATTTTTAGTGATGAAAACTTGGTTGGGTGCTTGTGAAGCTTGGACCAGGTTGAATCTGCACTCCGTTCTAAAGAAAAGAGCTTTTTGGGAGGCAAGGCTAAATGGATTTTAACGACTTTGTTAGGTCTACTTATTCCATTGTAGGAAAAATTCAAAACTTTTTAATGTTATGTCACCGTAAGTAACCTATGGCGATTATATTCGCTTTAGGCAGAATCTTATGAGTGTGTATAGACTTGAAAAATACAGTCGATATATTTTTTATTGGATTTGATGATATTAATGATGATGATGATTATTAAGTTCTTACTCAAAAAAATAATGATACTTCTATACATGATTGAAGTGCTCCCTATCTCTGTTAATGGAATTTCTTCCCGTCTTTTATTTGCCCCAGTTCCTGCAAAACTGTTCCCAAAGATCTCCATTTTCTGGCCAGATAAAGCGATTATTTCTGTGGAATGGAGAGGAAGTGAAGAATCCTAGGGAAGGTAAGACAAATTGACCATTGCTCCTTATCTATTTAGACATCAAATGGAGACAACTAATGCTAATCTGGCATGGGATGTCTTGACATTCAAGTCTTTGTAGGTCCGATACAAACCAACACTGCAAAAGTTACATGCATTTTACGGTCCAATCGGAAGCACTTATGCAATCTAATCTTTTGGACATGACTCTAGTAATAAGGATCTTTTGAATGTCTCACTCTAAATGAATATTACAGTTAAGATGTTTGGCACCGATTAGGCTCTTGAACCGGATTTTACAAGAGAGACGATCTTTTGCCCCACAGGTCAGCTGGGTTGGGGAGGGGGAAGTGTCGCTGTGTCGTTCTAGCATAGGATTAATTAGTCTAGAATATGAACTACTCATAAGCTACTTATCTCGAAAGATTTCTCGATCATGAAGCCATTTTAAGGCCAGGTTTCGTGTATACTCGATTTGGATCATAGAAAGCTGCCACAGACATCTGACAACATCAGATGCAATAAGTTGGATCTTTCGGGGTAAACATTTGTGAAGTGTAGCCAATGATTTTGACACCGAGGTTGCTGGTGTTAGCAACAAATGTAATTATCAAATTGAGCTCAAGACTGTGCCACTCAAGCGTGAGCATGCCCCAAATTGGCTGGACAGAAAGCAGACTTAGGCCTTCGCATCGCTTCTGAAGATGATTCAGACGTTAAAGCCGGGCCGGGACTTGCGCTAACATTTCCCTTTGGCTTCGTTATTGCTGAAAAGTGTATGATGCATTTGGAATCAATCTCGGCCATTTGGATGACTGACGGCAAGGAGTATAGCATGCGGGGGTTGTATATTGGAAGGTTCTGTGAGGTAAACCTATTTTATCAACGGTACAACAATCAAAATGGTGTAACCTCTATTTTGGTTGCGGTCTTTTGTCATTCATTTTTGCGACTCGTTCGGGTTTTCCGGGTGACGACACACAACAAAACACACGCAGATCTTATTGCTGGAATACAGAATAGCTGGGAGTTATTGGGACAGATGAGCCCAGACAAGACGTGTTCATCTTGGCCACGTTGACAAAACGACGAAGATGCGCAACTGAGGTCGTACCATTCATAAACATGCTTTTTCTTGCCTCTCTGATCATTCCCCGAGGTGGCTTTGTGATTTGTGTGAACTCAACTCTTTTGTCACATATTTGGAAACAAGATTTTGTTGTTTTATGCCAGAAGTCTCGTTGACGGGAACAGAAATTGACCGCCAGTATGTCTTCAATGCGTTGGCGAGAAAGGTCGGACGTGTGCTAGGCTTGTAGGAGGTTTGGTATCATAAATGCCTGTGACCTTCATATCCACGGCTCGAGTGTTACTCGAGAAGGAATGCATGGTGTGATTCAATCCAACACACTTTTGCATAACCTAACTGTCGATAAAGGCCAATCGTAATTTGTAAAATTTAAATGGAATGTTTTTTTAACATAATTTCATTATGAATGCTCAAATGGTTTGATAATATCAAAGTTTATTGTAGATACAAAAAAAACAAGATGTGAATCTTCCATCGCAGTGCTGGGTTCGTTTGATCGTTTTCGACGAGTTAGTTGAAACTTCTAAAATCACTTTAAAAAATGTTGTCTTATTGAATCTTTTTCTTGAAGGAGTTCCAGTTCCGAAGATGTCCATCAGAGGGCACGAGGGATGACACGACTAAGAATATCACGTGAACTGCGTCAATCTGAATGCCAGAGTGACGTTAACCGATGTTAGAGTAACTGGATTCCGTCGTGGTTTTCGGATTAAATCAAACTGAGCGAATCTCTTCATCAGACACTTTCACTCGAAAGTAAAGCCATCTTAACAATGTTATGGCCGATTCGGATGCATTTGAAGTGATATCTTTTCACTATTTCTAACCACGACTGTATATTCAGAGAAAAAGCGTCGTGTCTTCTTTCCAAAAAGATGGGTGAACAAGTGAAGAAGTGATGGATAAAAAATGTTTTAAAAGAAACTCAGACACTTTGTAAGTTGCGTCATCTCTTAGAAGGAACTATAATCCATTCTGATATATGATTGTTCCCTCCTGTAGTCTATCTTCTGCTGGAAGAGCGTTGGGAAGACTTCCATATCGTAGGAAAGTGCATGAAGAAGAGATTTGCAGTTCGATCTCACCAGAAGACGACTGCCAATTCCATTAGAACTGGAGCCTTTGGGCTCTAATATGGCTCTCAGTTTGACGCAGTCCACGAGACATATTTCCTCATTTCAGGTGAAAACGGGCTCATCTTTCGTCCAGCTTATGATGGGAACATCATCAGAGATGGAAGTAATTCTTGTAAAAGTCTCACGCTGACATAAGGTCGAGAAGACTTGAACATATATTCTATGGAATGGCTGTCTTTCTCACTTAATAAGTATTATTTGATACAAAATGCAACTGGGTTTATGTGAATTTCATGATATAATATTTTTGGGGCGACTTTCGTTTCGTATGAAAGTGCCTGTTAACCCGAGCCTGAGATCAGGTCCTTTTGATCACTCTGATTTAGCACCGATATTGCGTTTAGACATTACTATACAGACACACATACACACTCGAGTGAAAGTAGCCTGAAAGATAATTAATCAAACCCTAACGCCTATTCATTTTAGTTTTTAGTTTTGAGCATATATAAGAAGTAAGATAGAGCTGGATAGTCTTCTTGACCTAATATTAAAGTAAGAATCTTATGAGAATGAGTTCCAGCTATGACGATGTCCGTCAAACGGTGGACGAAAGCTCAGGGCATCTTAGACCGAAGCGAGGGAGGATGCCTCATGGACTGCGTCAACCTGAAGATTGTATTAAAGCCAAACGGCTGCAGTGCAACGGGGATTAGCCGTCGTTTTCTGGGAAGATTTACCTTCGAATCTCTTCTTCATGCGCATAAAAATCACCTTAACAATAGCAACTTTATCTCATTTTGTAACGCGCTGTCTCATGGGCTTTCACTCGTCCAGTTTGTTTACAAAACACTTGAATACTCGGTTCTCCTTCCCTATTCAGGCTGGGAAAGTCGACATGGTCGTAGGTAGACGAGTCCGTAGTTTAGGACATCCGTTTAGTCACTCAACCTCTACAGAAACGAATGAAACCACTTCACGACACAAAAAATCCAAACACCATCTGACTCTGGTACCTTTCGTGGTTAGGCTCAACCTAAGTTGTGTTGGTTAAAGTACACACACACACACACACACACACACACATTCTTTCGGGGTTTAATTTTGTGGGTAAACCGGTTTTCCCGACCACACTTTACACCCACATTTTTCTTCTCCACAGTCCCTCTTTTGGAGACTCTTCTGAAGTCTGGCCGACCGGACGACGTAACGCCCGAAGGCAGTAGAACCTCGGAGACCGACGTATCTGAGGCCTCGTCCTCGGTCGCCATCACCGTCCAGAGGAGGAAGATGCATTCCTCGGCCCGACGACGTCAACTGTATGGGCCAGTTTGGCTGACACGCGGCGAGGAGGTCAACTTTGCCGGGCCGCTCGCCTTCCTGGCCCGATTGAGCCGGACGATGCATCGTCAGATCACCTCGCAACAGTCACGCCCGGCCAAGCTGGTAAGTCCGGCTCTTCTGGGCAATCCC